CGCCTAATATTCCGTTGGAGGTATTTAAGACAAGATTACAGCTTCTTCTGGATCACGTGTCGATATAAAGATCGAGGCGATAGTGGCGGGGGACTTCAACGCCAAATCATCGTCCTGGAATTCGCCCTCTACAGACGCCAGAGGAACATATATGGATGAAGCCCTACAAGCGTTAGACATGGTGGTACTAAATGAGGGGAACACTCCGACCTTCTCCAGGTGCGCCTCCAAATCTTATATAGACATAACCTTCGCTACACAGAAGGCTAGCAGGACGATACAATCGTGGAGGGTATATCCTTGGAGGAAAGCCTAAGCTTAGTAGTATATAGGTATATATACTACTCAATATAAACACAGGCAAACAGAAACCGAAGAGGGAATGGCTGGAAAGGCCTCGGCCGCAGGCGGATGCATTCATAGACGCTTTCGGCATCGCAGCCGGACGGGTGAAGGACTACAAGGGCCTAGTTAGAGTAATAAAAGGTTCACAAGATCTTAGCACGGCGACAAAACGGGGCGATATAGAAAGGTCGCAGCCAGTTTGATGGAACGGGGAGATCGATCAACTTAGAGCCTCCTGTAATAGGTCTCGGAGGTCTTTGACAAGAGCCAGAGGCAGAAACATTAGTCAAAACATCGTTGGCCTAGAGGCAAGGTATAAGAAGAATAGGAAAGACCTGGGAGACGCTATTAGGAGAGCACAGAGGCGCAAGTGGGCATAGTTATGCGAGGAATTGGAGGAAAATTCCTGGGGTAATGGGTACCAAATAGTCACGGGGTCAATGAGACATCTCAGGACCCTCTACGAAGTGCACCACACATCCAAGATGGAGAAAATCCGGGAACTCTTCCCAGCCGACGACAGCCCTATCCCGATAGTCCCAAGACCTGCGGAGCAGCCACCGCTCTTCAGACTCGAAGAGCTGGTAACCGCGGCTGACAAGCTAAAAAACAAAAAGACACCAGAATTATTAATTGGTAAAACCGATCATCAATGCCAGACGATTCAAATTCAATTAGACCAGGACATAATAGAACCTGTCAACGACGCCTACATTATCATTATCCCCATTGATAAGATCATGATTGATAAAAATTGTAAGGAGCATGGATACGAAGAGATCAGACAACCACAGTTGATCCATATCCCATGTAAATGTAACCTCACTGTTAGAGGCGAAGTTTATTCCAACGACGCCACTTCCGTTCAAGGAAACCCTCTACAGTTACCTGAAATGGACACTATCCAGCTACATCCTGAGAATAACCCCATGAAAGTTCCTGAAAGAGTAAACCTCGACGAACTAACCCGACTTCAGGACCTCGCTGAAACCCTATTACACCGTTAGAAGACGACAGCACTTCTTATACTTTAATGTATATTTGTATATTTATAATTATTATACTTCTTACATATTTTATTTTATATTCCAAATATAAGAACAAATTTAAATGTTTTAAAAGGAAAAATAAACAAGAAAATATTCATTTAGAAAATGTTGATGAAAATAATGTTAATGTATTATTTTCATCTTAGGGATGGAGGAGTTATGTATATAAAACCCTCCTTTATGCTTATTTATCAAATGCTGACTAAGTTATAATAAACTCATAAAAGCTACCTATCTTGAAGGAAGAGTCAGTTCTGTTAGTACAGAGTAACTTCTGTACAATAAAGTCTGTAAATCCAAATAAAGTCTTTTTAAAAAGTGGTTCCCGAGGCCCGAAACTATAATTTACATGAATATTATTATGTCTTGACCCAAAAAACATGCCCTCCAAGGCACTCCGGCCTTGCTGCGCGTGTTTGAAGGACTCACTTGTGCACTTGTATCATAATAAACCATTCATCTTACAGCAATGTATATTCATATAATTAGTGTGAAATTATTCATCAGTGAGACAATGTGCTCTCATGTGGGATAATATGCTCAAACGTGACTAAAGGTTGGCAGCTTGACCTTGTCTAAGTAAGTAATATCTGTCAATAACACATAACAACCTGTCTGTTGACTTCTTCGAACTTCTTTCAGAAAAATGTCATTATATTACTGGTCGTTCAAAATTCTCACACACAAATGATTTTGCATCTTTCTCAATCATAATTATATTAGTGGTGGTTGAAAATCCTCACGCACAAATGACTTTGCTTCTTTCTCAATCATAATTAACTATTAACGATAATCATTGCCGATCGTTATTTCACCCTTTTCACGTCCATACAGTTAAAATTTATGTATTTGAATTACATCAAACATATACTTACTTCAACTCCCGTCGTGGTATTAGCCAGGGAAGTAGTTGTTTTTAGACAGTTATTTGCCATAATAGCCTACATGAATTATTGGTTGATGGGAGTAAAAAGGTCAAAACACTGGTCTGCAATGGTTATGTCTGAGTTTTGTGTTCAGATATCTGATAATATTCTATTGTTTTGGAAAATTGACGGAAATCTAAGTACTTATAATTTTGAAATTCTTTCTGAAGACCATACTTCAGCAGTATTATAATACGCATAGATTCACTACATGAAATAATAAAAACCATTAAGCAAGCTGTAATTACATGACTATAGTGTCAATCATTAAAATAATGTGTAATGGGTGAAACATTATACCTATTTCAAGAACCTTTAAAATAATAATTTTGAAATGTTGGTATTCGATATAAATGCTATATATTTATCGCTAACCGTTTTTGAGAAATGATTTTTTCTTCGATTTTCTGTCTAAATCTGACTTGAAAAATGCGTTTTTTTCAGAACGCATACAATTAACTCTCAAGCTATAGAATGCTATGACGTATCATGTTTATAGTTTAAGTTTGAACATATCTCAAAATTTTTCAAATGAAGCACTGCATGAAGGTAGCATTTGCAAGGCGATTTAATGTGCTAGATAGAAGGCATTTAGCCAGCACCAGCATTGGAGAGTCCTGCGACTCCTCTGAACCACTGCTTCCTACCACTCCCCGCTCCGCTATTCACAGTCAATCGCCAAATGTCGAGTAGTTCCATTGACTAGTCGGGTCTCAGTCCACCCGTCATGATATGACGGTTGACTGTTTCGCACATCGAAGCGCATGTCAAACGCTATGATGTGCCAAAATTTTCCATACCAGTATTATTGAATATAAGCAAATATGTGAAATACTCCATATTTGCCAATCTTTACTTTCCCCATACTTGCCTCCTATATAATATTTTTCTGGTAGTAAGTTAACTCAACTTAATTCTTGAAGCGAATCATTAATTTGGATTTTAGTTTTGCATGTGACACCAAACACATATTACTTAGGTATGGTTTCTATCAATTAATTCACCATTTATTGAATTGAATTGGTGATCAATGAATTGGTCCACGGAACGGAATCCGATTTAACCTGATCGTACATTACTATATTTGTATCTGTGTGGTACAGTTTGACAGAATTCAGAAAGTTTACAGGACACTGATGAACACTAGATAAGTATTAAAGCAGAGTAGCTCAAGAGTACCAGGCTTCAGACCCTAATGAAATTTAGAGAGCCACAAGAGAGGGTGTCAGTTTCTGCATTGTGAAGTGTTTGGGGGTTCATCAACACTTGAATCTGTTGAAATAGTTATGTCAAAAAGTAATATCGATGACTTAGTTCGCAGACCTAAGTCCCAGTTTTACCAAAAATAATTTTAATGCGTTTTCTCATCTGCATGTCCTATTAAATATACTCAAATAATTGTCAAGTCCAATACATTTAAAGAATGGCCAAAAATCGCTTGCATGAAAAACCGCTAAGTACTGACTCATACAAGACATTGCGCAGATCGCCCAAATCCTAACTTGTCGGCCATTTTAGTATGAGTTTGATAGCTGTACGAGGTACACGTTAGAATTTATGTCCTTTGGTGATATTTGGTTAATTTGAAGTTGTTGAATAATATTGAAACATTATAAAGGTGAGTAAAACTAATCAGAATATCTATTTTTCTAAAGAAATTAACATTAAACGTTCAAGTCAGTCTCGAATATACCTACACAGTAGGTTGAATGGACTGACGCCTATCAGAAAACAACTACTCCCCTGGCTAATACCACGGAGGGCGTTGGATTATATCCGACAGGCGTCAGTGCAGGAATCTTCACAGAAAATTTCCTGTGTATGCAATTGGCAATACAACTGAAAGAGTCGACCTTCAATTTTGGAATGGGCACACTTCCAGTGGGAACGCACAAAAAATCAAATGAATCGCGAAAAAGGATGAAGCTATACGGGTAAAAGAAAATCGGGTGATACATGAATGAAGCGTATACCAAAGGAGATACGAATAATGAAAGCCCGGTGCAAATGTCATCGAAAAGAGAAAAGCATTTTACCGGGCACATATTTCACTGGAGATGACAGAAAAACTAAATTTCAACGATTTTGGGAAATGACGTGGGCTGAAAAAAAATTTTCGTTGATGTTATGGTAAAAATATTCCCACCAAATAGACTCAGGAATCGAAAACAAGATTCAGAGTTGAGGAGATCCTGCTCATTTGCGTACAATTTAAAAAAACATGATAACTTATTAAGAGTATGTCAAACAATGTTCCTCAACACTTTGGCCATTGGAAAATGAAGTGTCCAAAACTGGCCTTTAAATTATACACACAATTTCTCTGAGCCACCGACTTCAAGACGTCCATTTGCCAATGAAAAAGAGGAACTAAATGATTTTTTGCCGAGTTGCCAAAGATGGAATCACATTATTATAGGTCTAGTAAAAACAAACTTTATCTGTTACCAGAATGGTAACGATTTGTACCGTTCTAAATGTTTAAATAAAGGAACAAAACCTCTCTCTGTCTTCACATTCAGTAACACAATGGATATTGTAAATATCTCATTGTTCCAGCCAAAAAAAGATCAATGCGAACTTTGCTGCAGCCACAAGCTTGGACACGTTGCTGATGATGTATATCAAGTTCTTCTTCACAAGAACGATGCACGCGACGAAAAACAGTTGACCCATTCAGTGCGCATGTCACACATGTAGGACATACCGATTTTCTCTGCAGTGCGCATGTCACACATGAGTGTTTCCAGCCGGCTTGAAATTCATTCGCCAGTGTTTTCTCAGCATTGAAAGTGGGCGCATGAATTCTTGTGAGCGTGTAGTTAAAAGTTAAAGTGTTGTAAAATTTTCCACCGTTACTAATTTTTCTTTTCTCGCGAAGTATACCATGGATCCTAACCTACCTGGTCCTTCGCGTGCAAAAAAACAAAAAGTATCATTCAAAGACCCAAACAATGTCACTGATGAAGAGTTATTAGCTGTGTTAGAGGCTTCTGACTCTGAAATAGATGAATTACTGGGAATTTCGGATTCCGACGACGAATATATTTTAGAAGGAGGCTGTGAGTCTGAGGAAAGTGATTATGATGATGGTGAAGGTAGGAATTTTGTTTTTCTTTTTGTTTATTCTTATATCGCATATTTTCTAGTTGATGCAGTCTTGCAAACACAATTACCTCAAACACACACACAACCATCAACTCTTGCAAGTGGAAGTATTATTCCAACGTGGTCAAGCAACCCTACAGCCTTGAAGGTGTTTCCGTTTACGAAGAGAAATGAACTATTACAATTAATTCCGGGAAACAACGAGCCGATTGATTACTTTCGTGCAATATTTGACAATAATATTCTTGAGCTGATTGTGAGAGAAACAAATAATTACGCCGAAACCGTGTTTCTGGCCGTAGGTACCACAGAAAAATCGCGGATTACCAGATGGAAACCAGTTACTTCTGCAGAAATGTTAACTTTTGTTGGCTCACTGTTACATACTGGAACAATTCGCACAAATCGCCTACAGGATTACTGGAAGCGGCATCCCTTATTCAACCTACAAAGCTTTTCTAAGCATATGAGTAGAGATCGTTTCCTACTCATAATGAGGTGTTTGCATTTTGCAGAAAATGGACCTGCAGGAGTTCCAACGGATCGCTTGCATAAAATAAATCCTTTTTTAAATTTCTTCAACGAGAAGATGGCAGTTCTCTATTATCCCCAACGGGAACTTTCACTGGACGAATCGATGGTGCTGTGGAGAGGGCGATTAGTATTTCGCCAATACATCAAAAACAAGAAACATAAATATGGAATAAAATTATATGTGCTTACCGAACCTTGTGGAGTGATATTGAAAGTATTGATATACACCAGGGCAATGGACAATTTAGGTGGAAAAGGACATACAACAAAAGTCGTACTTGATCTTATGCGGAATTATTTAGATTCAGGACATTCTCTATACTTAGATAATTTTTATAATTCTTTCGAGTTAGCAAATGAACTAACAAATCGCCGAACGTATTGTACGGGAACTCTCAATGCAAAACGAAAAAATAATCCCAAGGCCGTCATCGATAAAAAGCTGAAAAAGGGTGAAATCACTGGACAATACTCTAATGATATTATCGTCGGAAAGTGGAAGGATAAACGTGAAGTTTTATATATTTCCAATGAATATGAAAACAATATGATAGAGTATACTGACAGGCAAAATCGGGCAAGGGAAAAACCTACGCCAATATATTATTACAACAAATTCATGGGTGGTGTAGATCACCAAGACCAACTGAGTGCATACTATCCTTGTGAGAGGAAATCTCTAAGATGGTACAAACAATTAGGAATCCATCTCATTCACCTCATGTAACAGCAATATTTTCATGTTCTATCACTGTTCAAGTAGGCAATNTACGTTTTCTGAAAATAAATAGCTTCCAACCGAGAATAGATTTGGATGAAATTTAGGTATTTCAAGTGACAAGATGGATAAAATGATGATTGATTTTCGATGATGTAAAATATCAATTTGTTCCACTGAGTAGAAAAATTTGGTTCAACAACGAAGAAAACAATAATTTGATTTTTTCTTTAACTCAAATTGTGAATAACTTTTGAAAGAGTGATTTTGTGTAAAAACCCCAGGAGACCTTTTTTGTAGATCATTGAATTCTATATGTTTATTTGTTCGTTAGTTACAAAATTCCAAAATAAAAAAGGTGAATCTGAAAAATATATCACTGTTCAAAGCTTGATTGTTCGAAAACGGCTCGTCTGGCGAAAATCTTCGAAGACACGTTTTTTGTATATGTGCAGGTGAATTTTTTTCTTAGATAGTTTGGCAGCTTTAACGCAGAAATGAAAGCACAAATAAAAAAACGAAATTCAATATGATAGACCTCTCAATATCAATATTAAGGGCTCAAACCTTCTCGATTTTTTCGATATATTTTTCAACTCAGTGAATGTGAATGTGCACCTGAACTGAACTTATACCAATGTATCTCTAATATACACATTATAGATATGACATCTACGATATAAAGTCCGCGAGAAAATAATAAGTACATTTCAGTTGTTAGTGTGGAAAATACAGGGTGACAATTTGAAAACTTCCCACTCTTCATATCTTCCTTCCAGTAAATAATATGAGGAATCGAAAAAACAGGTCAATTTTATAGTTAAATCAACCCCCAAGAATGGGTTACTCTTAAAATCTTAATTGGGAAGGCGGGTCAAGTGGCACATCATTTTGATTGGCACTGGGTAGGTGAGAAACTTAACAGTCGAACTCCACCAAATATAATCTAAATAGGTATAATAAAGATAATAATTGGTGGAGCTGTTTCTCACCAACCCAGTTCATCTCATCTCCATGGATCGCCTCCGTTGGATTTTTGTTGGCGTTCAATTCTATTTTCAATGGTACCCTGACTTAATATATTTTGATGAAAATTTTCCGAAAAATAGCGTTCTAAAGTAACCGAAGTAATTATTAGAATGCCTATACTGAGATGCATGATTTGACCAGAACTGGTAAAAAAAAAGTAGGTGGTACTGTTCAAAACCTTTATTAGGGGTAACTTTAATAATAATATACTTTACTGTAATTAAGAATAAATCTTGTGGACAAAGCTTGTGAAAAATAAATATAAATGTAAGTATAGAAATATAAAATGTGAATATGAAAACATATACAAGAAAGTAAAGTTAGAACATAGACTATAAAGTTCATCGTCGAATTTCGTATCAATATGGTTTCGTGCAGATTAGTTTAAAAATATGTTTAAGACTTACCTACATAATACACATATAAACATATATACTTATATATAATGAATGAATAAATGAACACACCTTTTACACCAGATAAACAAACATTTGTATCAAAGTAAGAATATAAACAAAAATCTTATATTACTTATATTTAAATATGCACCTTATGTCAAGTAAATTTATCATTATAGAACTCTTGCAAATTATAATAGGGTCTATCAGACGAAAATGTTTTTACTCTTATTCTAAACATTTTATTGGTCAAATTTGCCTGTCCAATATCTGAGAGCAAGTAATTGAACGCCTTGACCTTAATGTAATACATAGAAATCCTGGCTAAATGTGTTAAAAGAATTGGCAATTTCAATGCCTTGCTATAAGAATTGCATGAAGCCATATTTTTGTAAATGAGGCAAACCGATTCCAAAATGAACAAAGCAATCATTGTTAAATTTTTTTCCTCAACGAATTTGTGTCTGCATGAATAACGAGGTTAAATCTTACACATGTACCTGATAGCCCGTTTCTGCAGTAGGACTAATACTGCTAATACACACAGAAGTGCTGATGAATTGTATACTCCCTTAAACGGTATTCCATAACGTAGGTGAGATTCAACGAGTGCGTAATACACCGTTCTGGCGGTTTTGATTCCCAAATTTATTGAAGTTAATCTCAGTGCATAACATCCAGAACAAATTTTACTTTTATGTTGTTTGATATGTTCAATAAATTTGAGCTTATTGTGAATGTAAATACCTATAAATTTAGTTTGAGTCTCGTTCTTGATCACTGAGTTATCACCAAATGACAGGTCATCAAGAACACATCTGAAATATTTGTTTTAGTGATATTGAAGGATAACAAATTGGCATCACACCACACGACTCCTTAATATTACATTGTGTAAAACATTTGAGTTTTGTTGTTCTACAGTATCGTCGTATCATCATCAAAAAGAGTGATTTTTCCAGATGTGTCCTAAAACTGATCCTTGTGGCACAGTTCCAAACAATTTACATCAAAAAGTAGTCTTATAGTAAAACGTAGATGGTAGTGAAGTTGTGTTCAGAATGTAAACCATTTTGCCTGAAAACAGAACATTTTTACAGCAGAAGTTGCAAAAAAGGACAGTCATCTGTACACTTTTTACGATGAGAATTAAAAATTGAGCATTTACCAAACATAACTTCACTACCATCTACGTTTCACTATCAGACTACTTTTTGATGTAAATTGTTTGGAGCTAATGCCTAATGTTACCCCTAATAGAGAATTGGAACGGTACCACCTAATATTCTTATCAGTTCTGTCATTACGCGTAGGCAGTGCTTGAAAAGTTTTACTCTAAAGCTGCTCTTTGCTTGAATTTCGAGATAATGCCTGCGTAAGCAATGAACCAGAGAGGTGTTCTGTCATAATATCGGTTCATTACTTGAATCCGAAGATTAACGATGATTTGGAAGAATGCTTGCATGAAATGTAAAGTTTAGTACAATAATATATCGTATGAAAATCGGTCGATGAGGACAATAGATGACGCTCTAGGTTGTTTGGTTAATGCTTGCATAGAGTGTAAACGAAGGTACAAAATTATATCGTATGAAAATCGTTCACCCTGGCCAACAGATAGCGCCCTGGGTTATATTTTGGATATTAACGTGAAATGTTCAATGATCATTTGGAAAGTATTTTTTTCCTTTCGAGTGGGATCATTGTGAATAACAATTTTGAACATATTCAAGAAATGAGAATTTTGATAAATACCGATTGAAAAAGAAGTAATATCGAAATTAGGATAGGTATATAGAAGTGAGAAAATAAAACTGAAAGATTGCCTTTTGAGGGTTTGTTGGTAAAAGTGAGAGGAATGTTAGGAATTATGAACACTTTTTTCATAAATCCGCTGAAATCATGTTTTTCCTGAAATTATTTGAAGGTAATACTTGAAACCATCATACATCCAATTTTTCAAGATACAACTTTAATCTCTGATAGAACAATATTACAAATGTATATTATAAAGTTATCGAAGAAAATACATTTTTTACAAAATTGTTATTGTCTCTGTTTGGGACAAGGGATACGGAAAAAACCTTTCGAGGTCAGTTTTAACGAAGAATCAATGAACACATTTTCACAGATGTAGGAATTCTTCAAAATTGATTTCTCTATCTTCCATTGAACACCATACTTCAGAACCTAAATGAAACCGTAAATATGAATATGATTCATTTTCGTTTTCATGATTTCCATGCACAAATGTGAGTACGGTTTTACTTTCATTGCATCAGTAGGTCGTATTGCGTCACAGTCGTATTGAGTGTTGCATAATGCTGGGAAAGTTGCGGTAACCTATATCAGAACATCGATAATTTCGATTGAAGTCTTTGGAATTCGAACGCTGTGGAGTCCAGTAAATGATCACCTACCTATAGGTATAGATAATGGATTGATTTAATTTTTTCTTGTTCTTGTCATGACTATATATAAAAATGTATGAAATGGGACACAATCAACATCTTGATATTATTAAATGATTTGGTTGAAATGAGAAATTATAGAATACTGTTTTTGGGGATATCGCTGGAGGTTTTATTTTTGAATGGAAATTGCTTAATACAGTTCATTGAATGGTTCGGAAACAATATATGTAGGTACCTCATTCTCATTTCGGGCTATGCAAATGCCATTGGTTTCGTTTCAAATGATGGATTATTCCATTAATGAACTGATGAGGATGAAAGTCTAGAATGAAAAATGTTACTGTCGTGGCATTGAGAGTTGCATATTAAGTACAGATATGAGTAAAGTGAAGCAAATTATATCGTAACGTTGAACGATCAAGGTCATTCCGAATCTTGGAAAAATAAACACTGCAGGGGCATGTCAAATATTTCAATATTCCACCATAATCACCCTAACTGTTCATGAACTGGGTTGATTGCCAATAATCTATCGCACCTTTTTATTATTATTTTCTTTAGAACTAATCGGTGAGTTTTGGAAATAATATAATAGTACCTAACTACAGAAAGTCAAATAAAAAAACTTTCCTGGAGAATACATTTGAAATTCAGGTTTGCCTAAGCTCTTCTGTTAGGAAGAGAATAATTACCAAGAACTTGCAGGTAGTTAATTGCCGAGAAATTCCATATTGGACTTCAGGTATCCACCCTCAGGTAACAAATTTTAGTATATAAGGACTGACTAGACTAGGTATCAGTTTTCTTCTCCTGAGGATGCTAGGTTTGTTGGCGAAAAGCGCGTCGAGTGCAAAAATATCAGTTTGGTGTTAGGGCAATTGATCTCAAAAAAAGTTCATCTATCAAGGTGTTTTAACTTCTAAATATTTGTAATATAAATTTATTGAAAGAAGTAACGCCTTGTTCAAAGCACAAATATGTGGCTTCAAAAATTATAATATTTTCTATTTGATAGTCAGAAGAACTGTAGTGGCCGAGAACAGGCATTCTTAAAACTGGTTTTCTGTCGCATGAATCTTCAAAGAATATGTGCTAGTCGTCATCTGGCTCACATTAAAATTATTATCTGCCATATAATAAACAAGCTATTATAATTTTTCAATATACA